TGTCCCCCCCCCCCCCCCCCCCCCGTTTCTGTCACAGAGGCTGGCATTCGTCAGCACCCAACTGGACAGCAAGTAGAACTATCGTGCGCAACACCATGTGCAGGCTTGGATTGGTTTGAAATGCACTACGCTTGTCTTTTTCTCACAACCAATTCATGAGCCCTGAGCTCTGCGCACACAACCATCGTTAACATCTAGATCCAGAGTCCATGCCAATTCCATGAAGTGACACAGTATGTCGTGCGGCACCGCAGAACGGCAAGACGAGAAAAAACGAACCGGACGAGCGAGCGACACAACGGCAAGAAAACGAGCGACGAGAAGCAACGCTCGAGGTACGTAGGATTCTCCATATTTGTGCAGTAGCAACGGCAACCAACGGCGAAGAGGAACCACAAACAATACCGCCGGTAAAATTACGCAGAAAATCTAGGGGGCTACAGTAAGCTCTACGACAGTACGTGCTCTCCGCAAGCCGGATTGTTCTTGACCGCGTTTGAGGGGAGAAAATCGAATGAAAGGTGATGGCAGAGTGCCTCTCACTAAAGCCTTCCGTTGCTGCCTGCGTTGTTGGTGCTTTGGCTGTCTCTCTCTCTCTGACGCTGTCGTGAAATGTGGACATGGTAATGTTCATATCTCCTCAAGTCTCTTAAGTTGTTGAGCTGCGAAAGGCGGCTGTCCCTTCTCTCGCTCTAAACCACTCAAGTTTGTGGCGTCATCCGGCTCCCAACCCACACGCAACCTGAACCTATCTCAGCAAGCCGTGGAGCACAATGGTACAGCCCCGGCACACTGGAAGCAGCACGACGGAGATGGATGGGAAAATCGCTTCGCGTGGGGAACAACGAACTTGCGGGACCGACGGCGACGGCAGGGAAAAGCCTCGATGTCAGAAGTTAGCGACAGAGTAATCAATTATTAAACTTACGGCGAGTGGAATATGCGTCATACCCTCCGAGACGGGCAGCTTGAGTGGCGGCGGTGAGACGTGTGGAAGCGGCAAGGGCGAAGGCATGGATTGGAGGAGGAGGATAAGCGCCGGCAGCTCGACGCAGGGGAGGAGGTGCGCTAGAGATAGGCCACCTATTGGTGGCGGTGGAGGAGAGACGGCGAGCAGGCCGGAGAGAGAAGCTCAGACCGAGCATGCGGCTGCGGCCGTGGTGCCATCGTACCATGCAGATGACCTCGAGAAGACCGGCTCTAGCAGCATCGTACGAAGGGACGGATCACTAATTTGCGGCAGCAGCAGCGGTGACGGCCGAAGCAGTGAGGACACACGGCAGAGTTGTCATAGAGGAGGTCAGGGCGAGACGGGCGGGTGCGGAGGGGAGCCTGGAGAAGTCGGAACAGCGTACCGGCTACCGTATGGTGTGTGATACGCAAGCAGCGGAGGTGACCACGTCGAAAGCGAGAACGATGGAGAGAGATAGAGCGCGAGAGAGAGAGAAAGAGAGAAGACATGGGAAAAAAGGTGCAGGGATGAGAGGGAGGTGGGCAGCGGGCGATGGGGGCGCGCGATGATCAAACCTCGTGGGGAGGGAAGAGGGGAACACGCCCGCCCGCCAATAAACGATTTGGCGGGGTTGTGAACAGCAATCAGTCGGGATAGGGTTGCTGTTTAGGCCGCTACTGGCTATAACGATGACGAGAACGATGTGAGGGTACAGAAATACTAATGGGGCAATCGAGAGCGAGCGCCTCGTCGGAAGTCCGTAACGGCGGCCGACCCCACAGCGAGCAAGCAGCTTAGGCAGTGAAGTGAGGCACGGCAGCGGCAACAAACGAGTGACGCCGCAACGTAGATTGGCGCCCAGAACGTTGACCCAGTCGGCTGGGGTCAACGCTTGTCAAATTGGTATCAGAAAAAGCTGGTCACGTTCTTGAAGTTGGCCAGGGGGCATCCTGGCAACTTGTGACATCGCGCTGGTCGTCTGCCAGAGCTACAGTCTGTGTAGTGTTTATTTAGTTTGCGACCCTTGCAGGAAAACTGAAGCTTACTCGTACAGGATAATATACCGAAAAACTACCGCGAGCACACAGGGGTCGGGCAAGGAACTCAACATCACCAACAACGACCGCCTAACGAGCACGAGGCTGTCGACCTAACCCGTCGAAGTCGGCACAAGTCATATCGCCACCACAGCAGAAATTACAGCGGTGGACTACAAGAACAAACACCGTCATCATCTTCTCGTTGACCGCATCGTCTTGGTAAGACGCGCATCAAGTGAGTTGAGCCAACGACCATCCAGAACGCTCCCGGTGTAGATGTTCAGCCGTGCCCCGTCCTCCACGGCGCTCATCGCCGCCGGCCACCACTCATCCCTGAGGCCCAACACACACGGTGATTGCGGCTCTTCTACTCCTTCAGCAGCAACAGCAGCAGCACTGGAAGCACCTGTAGCGGAACCAGCAGCGCGATTCGTGTCAGCAGCACCACGTTTCCCAACCAACTCTGCAGCCAAAGAGTTCCTACCCTTGTTGGCTCTTCCAGCGGCACGGCCGATGACAGCCCCGTCGCCGCCTTTCAAGAATCGTTTGCTGCTGATCCCACGGTGGGGGCCTGGGTGTGGCGACCGCCGCGTTTGTCTGCGCCTCTCCTGCTGCTGCTGCTGCTGCTGCTGCTGCTGGTGTAACGCATGGATCGAAGCTGCTGCCGAGCCGCCACCACGAGCGCCGCTACCCCCGCTACCAGGGTGAGCAACCCCCCCACCAGCAACACCACGACCACCACCGCTGGCGACATCCCCAGCGCTGCCGACCGAACGCCCGGCCCAGGCGGCACCTAGCTCGCGGCTGGCCGTGCCGCCTGCCCGCGCCAGATGTGGCCGGATGCTGCGACCGTCGCAACTGCCGGTGTCGGTGGTCGCAGCAGTCGGACGCCTGCTGGCGACGAGTGTCCCGCGTTGGCTTCTTCTGCCTCCGGCAGGCGCAGTCGACGCCCTGCCGTGGGTAATGATGTCCAAAGGGGGGCGGAATACCGCCGGTCCATCCTGCATCAACTTCGGGTGAAAACAGGCAAACGCGCATGGCAGGCAGGAGGTTGTAGGATGTGGTGCGTGAGGGCCACCGGGCTAGCCAGGAGAGGGAGGCGGGTGATAGATTGGAAGGGGTTGGCTGACGGGTCAGGGCGCGGGGAAGAGGTCGTCTGCTCTACGGGGGATACTATCAGGTGCAACTGCGCTAAGGTGAATTGACACAGACCGTGAGTTGACCGAACCTGGAATTGACATGGACTGGACCTACCGAATGAAACGCAGAATAAATCACCCCCTGGACCGACTTTCAAAGCTCGATTACGCCACGACGAAGAGGATGCATCAACGCAACAGTACATTTTTGGAAAGCTCGCGACTAGACGGCTTCAACGCCGCCGGTTTCGACGCTGGGACTCTTTCTACTGTTGAGAAGTCGAATATTGAAAATCTGTCCAGGGTGTTTGTTATCTTGTGTCGTATACGGTAATGACGTAGCGGCCAACGGAAGCGACAACCAGCGTGCTAGGGCACAAGCGACATGGTACCGAGTGCATTTCAGGAAAATATTTTTGCGTCACACGTTTCTCTGCCCCCCACCTCGAAAGACGAAGGAAAGTGTTCTCGCCCGTACACTCCCGGACACTCCCAAAGGTACCCGACCCCACCCTCCTTGCCCGCGCCACCCGCACCACGGTCGTCATGCCCAGCATCGTCGAAAGCAGCATCGCAGGTGCTGACGGTGCCGGCGGTGGCCAGCAGCGGCCTCCGGGCACGACCGCCACCGCTGGGACCGCTGAGAACGTGGTCTTCTCGCGCGGCCTTGACGATCATTTCGTACCTCCGAATGTCCCGGACGGCGGTGGCCACCTCGCCAACCTCCACGAGCCCGTTGTTTCCTCCATCAAGGTGCCGTAGGACCTTGGTTGATTCGTTAGGTGCGGGGCGGAGACCGGGGCTCAATTTGCATGGCCAGGGAGATGTTCTGCATATTGGATCTCGGCCTTTGCTGCGATAGGCTTGTCGACAGCATCTGAATGCTGTAGTCAGAAACCCGAAAAAACAAGAAACGTGCGAGCCTGAAAGCTCTGATGGCTGGACCGCCGTACCGTCTTTGCCAAGTCTCACCAACATGGCCTCCGCCGGGCTGAGCTCGAAGTCGAGGTTGCGCATGAACGCCGCCAGTTCGTCGACATCCAAGCCGTGATTGCCGGCACCGTCACCTGCGGGGGAAGTTCGGGACAGGCCATGTCAGTCGACGGCTATTTTCGCGCTCCGCATAGCATCATCGATGGGCTTGGGGCTGGTGGCTGTGGTCCAATCCAACCCTTATGTACGCTTTTCACCATACCGGGTATTACGCCTGCTGCCAATCCCGTGGGGGCCAAGCAAGGGACAAACCCCACATTCCAGAGGCCCATCCCCAATGTGTCAATCCATCCATGTACCGCAACCGCGTATCACGTCATCGGTATTTGTTTGTCTTTCATCTCTGTGATCAGCTGAGGTTAACACCAGTTGCTGGCCCTAGGGCATCGACGGTCTTGTCGACATTCTGTTCGTTCTACGCATATGTCATTATATCAGGTCACCCCTTCAGCGCAATCGAAACCCCATTGCCTTAAAGAGCGCCTGCCGCCATGGACAGATTTTCAGCAGGTTCAGCGTTCTGACGTATCACTTGACCGACGACAAGATGAGGAGGGCGAGATAGCATCCGACGACCATACTTGGCATCTCTCGTTGGTCTGAGTACCCCACAGGAAGTTCTCTGCTTATTCGAGGTGGGAAGGGAAACCAGAACCCCAAAAACTTCTTCCAGGACGACAATAGGACTCGGGGGAAAGGCAGAAGGACACAAAAACAACATGCCACTCACCCGTGCTGCCGCGAAAGCTTTCGCTAAGGCGCTTGCCGGTGCGCGTTTGCCACACCTCTATCCGCTTCAGCACCGAGTACACTCCCGCCTTCTTGTACTTCTCCAGCCTCTCCAACGCGTCATGTGCTTCGGCCGTTCTCAACTCCTGCCATGTGGAGGATAAATTCGAAAGAAAAGAGCGCAGAAGCTAAACCAGTTTAGGTTCGGAACGCATCGCTCACCCTACCACACAAACCACTGCTGTGCGTTCCTAGGGTAATCACGCAAACTCCGTCAGCGGCCGTTTGACTGATGATGTCCAGAAATTGCATTGGAAATAATAAAAACACCTTGTGGTATGCAGCGTATTCTGTCCTGTTGACATAATCGATCCCTTGTCTGTAGAAGAAAAACGTTCCTCCCCGCACGTGGTTCTGCTGAGCCCAGAGCCTGGTGTCGACCCCGGAATACGATAGATTTCGGGCAGAAACCCGCTTGTTGTTCAATTGCGAGGCACAATCACCACACCAACAACTCGGGGGCACCACAACGTTGAGAACGACACCCCCACAGTAAGCCGGGGACTCCAGCAGCGCACAACCTGTTGCCGGGCCCTTTCTTCGGCGAGCTCGGCCTTCGCCCTCGCCCGGGCCTTTCGCCGCGCGGGCTCCCTGGATAGAGCTTCGAACAACATTCGAAGTTCGTGTTTCTCGATGTACCCGCTCCGGTTCCTGCTTTGCAGGTACAAGGATGCGTACGAACACTTTAAGGCCACAGCTCAACCTACTCCCGGATGCTATCCTTCATGACCCCGGCTCGTGCGCCCAAACATTCCGGAAGGGGGGACAACGCTACACGTTCTCTTCATGGCGGTTTCGAGTAGAAGGCTTTCTTTGGCGCAACCCGCGAGGAGGAATTTCTTGTAGTTGCTACACAGATCCTCTCAACCAGCAATGCACCGACTGTTTAGGCCAGAGCTGTAATTATTGGTACTTGTTCAGTGTTTGCCGTCAATTGTTCCACACGGAGCATGCAGGCATTCTTTTCGAGCTGCGCCGAACTTCTTCAACGACAACGACGACGACAACAACAATCCACAACAACAATCCACAACAACAACAGCAACAACACTGTCAAAATATTATCAACAACCAACCCCAGCACGTTAACGCCAACACCAACATCGGGTGTTGATTTTCCACCTAACACCCGCCTGTCCAAGCAGAAGAACACGTCCGTGAATCGTGCCCCTGTTCGGTGCATGTAGCTCTCCAGCACCTGCAGAAGGTTTCCGGCCTCGCTCGTCCTGGCATCATCTTCGTCTTCGTCGGCATGTAGTCTTGAAATTGCTAGCCTGCCGAAACAAGCACCATAGGCACAACGGGGTTACGCGCACGAGGGCGTCAAAACCGACCGAACTTTACATGCAAAATTGCTGCTGCCTATGCATCTGTCTGCAACCCCATGCTCCACGAAAGAAGTAGCTTGGACCAGTAATGAACGAACCTGGTAAGGTTAACGTACTTGTGTACACGAAATTCGGGCTCAACCTCCAAGTACCATGACTTCAGGAGACGACCAATGCCCCCGTTTCGCCACAAAACGACCTAGGTTTCAAGGCCTGGCGAAACGAAAAGACTGCGGACGGTACATATCTCTTTGCGGAAGAGCATTCTGCAGAAGGAACCTCATCTACGAAGAAGCCAACTTCCGGAGGAAAAGCACGGTTTTGCACTGCATATCTGCTCCCTTCTCTTGCTTACCGCATTTCCCGGATGTCTAGAGAGAAATCGACGTCCGTATCGATAAAGCGCATGAGATCGCTGACGTCCTTCGAAGTGAACGTCTCGTTCTCGAGCCCAAGGAAATACGCCCTTTCCGACGTGCGAGATAGCATGAATAGGGGCTGAAGCTCATTCAGGAAGACTATCATACTACAACGTCGTTCACTCTATTGGCGGTGATGACGTTGCAATATGCTCGGTTGTAACTCCATTTCTCGCAGGTTAGGATCATGACGAATACCAGTGACGAAATTCGTAATAGGCAACTCCTACTTCTTGCCTTTTGCCGGCGACGACTGCATCAGACAATAACAATCCGCGCACAGATTCAAACCATTTTTCTCCCCATGTGCTGTATTTGTCTAGCGGACCTGCCGCCCGTTCGTGGGTTGCGTCACAAATGGGGCGTCAAACATCCCGGGCCCTCCACGAAGATGACAATGGAGCGTCACGCATTGTCCGCAGGAACCCCTGTCTTTCCGCATTCTACCTGATAGCTTCACACCACACAAACCAGTGTGATTCACTCGCGCATTCCACCGGGCGAGGTTCACCCGAGTATGGAGAAAATCCACTCTTGTGTGTACAGGAGGGCAGGAAGGGCCAACACAACGAAACACAGAGCGCTCTTCCTTAGAGGGTGGTGTGTTCCGGTCCTCAAGAAGCTGTCAAGTCAAGCTCGTCGCCAAAGTCGGGGTCAAGTGCACACAGAACAAGTCCACTCGCATGAACCACAATCATTACGCATCAGATTTTTTCTTGTTGCTCATACAGATAGCCTCTGCCACAGGGCACTTCATTGCACTCGTAGGCGGGACTTCGTGACGGTGAGAGAAACCACCTCGCGAACATGTTTCTGAAATCGTCTCCTTGCCTTCCCTATGCAGCGACAGCGACGGCATGAATGATTCGTGGTGTCCTGTGCCTTGCAACTTACGCAACTACTCGCTGGGACAGGTTGCCGCCTCACCTCTGCCCTAGATACACCATGCCATCTAGTGCGTGCTCCCGACACGCAACCGCCCTGCCGGCGTTCAGCATGTCTATCGAAGAAGTTCTCGTTCTCGATTTGACCCCCTCCTCTTTGTAGTTCTCGATTGGTCCCGCCTGATTGCCGGCCCCGCACCACTGCTCTTGCCCGGCCGAAGGTCCTTCCTTAGCCCCCATGGGAACCAGGTCACTTTCGCAATGATCGATTTCATGTCCTGGTTCTTCCTCAGACCGTCTTGCGATGGTGTTGCTCCGGCTGCCGCCGCCACCACCACCGCCACCGCCATCGCCACCGCCACCACCAACACCGCCGCCACAACGGTTTCCCGGTAGCACATTCATCCCCTGTGATAAACGCCGAGCATCTACGCTTCCGCTGTCGCCGTAAAGGCTCGCACCACGAGCTCCCTGTGACCGATGGTGCCCCATTGGAAAAGCGCTCCCCAGTGAGCCACCACTAGCAGCACCTTGAGCTGAACCGCCCAATGGTTTGCTTTCCTCTTGCTGTCCACGTTCGCCTTCCCCCCCAGCACGCTTCGGCTCGGGTTCCTCTGTTGGGTCAGGAATACCGTCCGGGGTAATAGAGGAGCTGGTGTCTCGGTTGATGGTGGTGCAGCCTTGGTGGTGGCTGCTGCTGTGGTTGTGTTGGGTTGGATCGGTCTCCTCGAAGCCTTCATGATGGTGATGCTTTCCGCGGTCAGAAGGTGCCTGGTGGCCATGGTCTTGCGCATGGCTGGAACTATTTTCTTGCTTACCGGTGCGTTCTACGATGGAAAGGTCTTTGGCGACACCGCTACTCGAGGAACGGCAGTTGATGCTGGTACCGTTGGCCGTTTCAAACCCGTCGCCGGCAGGGTCAATCTGAGGGCCTGTCAAGGGAGGGAGGCCGTAGTTCGGGATTCGGTTGCACTTGAAAGCACGGCAGCAGCACTCGCGTCGAGCGATGTGGGTGGCCAGACGCTCAAAGCCCACCCGGAGCTCCAAAGCGGTCAGCTTTCCGTCACCGTGTCCGTTCTGAGAGGGGAACATGTGGGTTACGGTGCGCAAGACTCTTTCTGAATTGCATCCGGCAAATGTGTGCCGCGTACGTACCCACGCGAGCTCAACAAACGCGCCATCCCCACACAACCATGAGCAAGGCAACTAACATGAAGCTGTAGTCTAAACACCCTTATTGTTGGTACTCGTATGAAAAGCAGAACATGCCAATACACGAGTGGTCGACGTGATCTGCAGTTCCTCTCACAGCCATCGCCTCATCAACGACCACGAGGGCCGTAGAAAGAGAAATATTCCTTCAACCCCCAACACAGTTCGCAGCAAAACGACTTGTCCAGCCAACGACTTCAGCAGAAAACCAAGCCATCACCTGAGATATATCCATGAACTTGAACCACTCTTCGAGAGACATCCCCGCTCGTCTCATCAACCGCACGACCTTGGCCAGAACGACTCGACCGGCTCTCTCGGCCTTAACGGTGGCCCACTTCCTCCGTATTTTGCGAAAGCCAGAAATCATCTCCTCAAGCGTGACCTTGTCGTCCCCGCGCCCAGCGTTATCGAAAAACTTGAGTAACTGCCTCAACAATGAAAATGTGTTTGAGAGAGACCCGACGTCAACGGCAATAAAGAGCCGCTAAACTCACATGGAGAGTTGCGAACGGCACGCTGAATGTTTTTTGGCAACGATAAGCATAAAACGATAGGATGTCTTGGTTTCCCCATACAAATACTTCTAACAGGCATGAAGGTTCGCCTTGGAATAAAGATTGAATGCAAAGCTAAACTCATTGTTTTTCGAAATCAGAAGGCCAAGCGAAAGTCGTGCAGAGACGCATGGTGAATATTCGGCGAGAAAACAATGCACGTACGTTACTTCACTAGACAGGTAATGGAGGGGTCGGCCCTCCCTCAACACGCAACACCAGGGCAAGGTGGTTCAATCAAGCTCGGGCTAAAGAATGGTTGGTGATTTGAAGTACACACTAGAAGGCTCGATGCGAAGTCTGCCCATTTTCGTCTGGGCCGTAGACACAGTAGTTCCAGCGTGAATCGTTTCACCGCGTACGTGGCCACGTGACACAAGAACTTGCAAGGGGACGATGGGTTCGTTTGTCCACAGCACGCCGAACCGTCGTAGAGGTGAGGACCTGACTTTTGTATGGCGGCGACATCTCTTGGTCACAGTATTTTCTGAGCCAGTCGAAGCGAAGGTTGTGTTGTGCGAGGTACTTCGTACTTCACATAGGTGAGCCCGGCCTGGAGACATGGCTAGTAATTGAAGCTCTCGTGATGTGGATTAGGGGGGGACTGGGGGTCTGACCTTTCTTGCTACAACTCGAAACATGTTCACAGCAGCGAATCTACTGAAGGGACAAGTTGTGGAGGCTATTGATCATCATCAGCTATGCCTTCGGGAAAACGAGAGACGAAACACTGTCCACCTTGTCGATGTCTTCGTCGGCAAAGAGCAACGCTGATGGGTCCACGTACGACTCGGTGTAGTTTCCACCGGCACCAACGAACGCGACGCCCTTCGAAGAATCTCCGCCAGGCTGTCCTATCCCGAGAGCACCCCTGCTGGCTACCTTCAGCGGAAGGGCCTTGCTTTGCCCTCGTTTCCTTATTGCCCCGTACGTGATGCTTTCCTCGAATATGTACTGGTCTACGGTTGGCATGGTTGGTGGAGGGTTCTCGAAGAGGTTCGAATAGTGAGCATACGCTTTTTCCACGTGTTGCCCGTCATCGTTTCTTTGGGGAGAGGGAATTGCATCCACTCCATTGGGACTGGGGGAGCTCCTTTCAATCTTGTCGGAGATCTGTTGCTGTTGCTCGTCGGAATCTCCACCGCCCACGTCGCAAGTATGTTTACTTTCTGGCGGTGTCGGCAAGACTCGTTGCTGGTGCGGAGACGTCTGTTCTCCTCCAACAGCACCGCCGGTTGGGTTGCCGCGTAGAAGAACATTGGGATCTTGACTTTCCAAGCCTGTGGCTTGTCCGGGTGCGTTCACGTTCGCATGGCGAACCACGGTGTAAATGTTTTGGCACCAGGGGAGCATCGACCTCACCGCCGGTACGCCCCCGCCGGCACCAGTTGCCGCAGGCGTTCTCCTCTTCCTGGCGAGTGCCTTCCTGCTCGTTGGAGACGACGTACAACCCAACGCCATCTTCTTGCTGTAGACATAACCAGGATGTCTTCGCGATATGGGTCGCAGCGAGACCTGGTGTTTGGACCGCAACCTTTCACCGTCTTGTCCGCCTCCGTGCTGCTCCGAGGACGGAACGGTTCGTAATTTCCCGTTGCCGGCGTCGCTTCGGTCGTGGCCACCTGCTACTGGCACGGCCAAATTGCTATGTCCGCGACTGCCGTAGCGCCCTAGTGACGGTGCAAGGTTGACGAGGCCATCTCTTGTACGGTTGACGTTGTTGCTGCTGTTGCGCTCCAGCCTCGAACAAGAACCAGTTGTCGCTGGCCGAGCGCCCCTCGCCGCAGCTCTTCCGCCGGCGGGCTGGCCTCCGTAACTCGCAGGCCGAGACGTGCTAGAGACGAGTCCCTCGTGCTCCTCGACCACTATCCCTGGCGTTGTTGGTGGGTAGCTGCTGTGGTACTCTGGACGCCCTGCGCCCATCTTGCCAACATGGTGAACGCGGAACAATGCATCACATCATGGAGTGCTGCTGGTATCGGCATCGGGAGGTTGGGAGTTGGGGGATCGGTTTCGGTGGTTCACATGCCGGTTGGCGAGGTTCGGGCGCGCTACTGTCACGATGTTTCGCCGCTTGTCGGTTCATGTACCACTTGCCGTGTTCCCCAACTGTTGCATATCGCGTGCAGCACACTTGCCGGCGAAAGGACCCTCGATGGTTTGGAAATCGAGGTCGCATGTGCTGCCTAAGCACCCTATGCCTTCAGCGGCGCAAAAGCTTCATCTCAACAAGAAGGATCCGTTGTGGCCGGCGATCCCCTCCAGGATAACTCTCGAGGACCCCCCTCTCATAGCTCAGGTTTGTCACCACACAGCTACACAATGATCTCTTCCATCGCCTCTGATACTCTGATACTGCATATGCATACTTGCAAGCATTTTTCTATCTCACTATTGCTGCATGCGATCATCACACCATCACACCTCTCTTGAGGCGCCGCTTGCGGGGGACACCCCGCCCACGTTGGATGCAAATTGCGCGTGATTCTTATTTTCTGCGAGCAATCGTGTTCTAGTCGACCGTCGAGATTCAAACGATGTACTTGTAACAATGTCGCTGGGATCTTGTGGAGTCGAATGCGCTGTGAAAAGTCTCGCGTTACAAACCTAGCTTGTAGGGGGTGGACTTAAACGGATGCTGCTGGAGTGCTCCATTAAGAGCTTTCCACACGTACAGTAACGTTTGTCATTCCACTTGTTACAGTAGCAGTGGAGCAATCGAGAATTTAACGTGTCTGACGAACGCGTGGCTTCATACGACGTACTTCAAGTAGTACGCGTATTGCTTTGCCGAACGTGTGACAGGCTGGGGGATCTATATAGCTGTAGTCTTTCACGGTGAGGACTTCACTATTCCTCACTTTCGCCATATTCCCTGCGTCACTGAACGTACAACTGCAAGGAAGAATAAATCTCTCCTTTTCGGAGAAACAGTTGCATTCTGCCACTCTGAGATTGCCAAATGACTGTAGGATAATCGCACACTGAGTACAAGCCAACGCGACCACCTGTGGTCGCGTGTTACCCGCTGAAGGTATCCAAGATGATGGGAAACGCACAGCCGGTGCATGCCCTCCGGGACTCTTTTCGCTGGGACCGAGTTGCTGCCAACGTGTCACGAAATTTTGCCGCGCCGCGAGAGAAAGAAAGCAAAGTCGGCAGGAAACGCGGCAGACGCTCTGGGACGGCTAACAGTGCGCTTGGTGAGATAACCCACGTACCAGCTTTCCGCACCACGTGGTTCCTTACATTTCTCAACTTCGAGAGGACCTCGAACGCCACGAGGGACGTAGTTTAACATTCGGCATGAACTTTCAAGTGCATGTTCGATCGTCATATGGCATGCGTATGGTTAAACGGAAACAAAGAGCAAAGGTGTAGCGATTGTCAAGATGACAAATGGCGGATGCCATGTGTTCACCGGATACTTTACGATTCCAAGACGTTTTGTTCTTTGCGGACATACGCTGCTCATGTCGAAGCTAGACGTGCTCGGTTTTTGTTCTGCAGCCTTCTCTTCAGTTGTTCGCACATGACTCGCGACATCTTTTGAAACCGAGGGTACACACAGAAAGCTTTGGTAGCTCTCTCCGGACAACACCTTAGGTACAGAACTTTTGAGTCACTCCCACTCTCACACACGCACCCTGCTGCGTTGAGCAAGCAAACTTGATAAAGTTTGCGTGTTTCCATGGGTTTGGGTATTCGCTCTACATCTCCGTCCTCGACCGCCTAGAACAAGCTTACCTCCCTGCTGGGGTAGCCCCAGCAATTGGCTTGAGGCAGCAGCGATCGCGCGGCGGTGGCAGCAACTGTGGAGGCCCTTACCGCGGCCTGAGTCACGCTGCGAGCCGCCATCAAGGGGACTCAGTAACCCGACTGAACAATGTTCATGTTGACGGAAGCGCTCGAGACATCAATGAAGATTATCGACCCAAGAGGGGGCTTCCCGAATCCAGTAGCGAGCCAATACTCTCTTCTGCTCAGGTACGTATGCTTCTTTGCCGTCAACTGCACACTGTGCAGATGCAAATCTTCGTCGTGCTTGACATCATTTTATGTGGTGCAGTCCAATTCAAGTAAGCGTGTCACCACAGCCCAACCTTCCCCGCACGACCTTTCCAGAGTTCCATGTAGATATGATGTGCAACTCTTTGCTGGTTGTGGATTGAGTAGTACGGCTGGCGTCAAAGTTGGACTCGTCAGGGTTTCTTGTGTCCTCGGACATCACCAGAGTATCCGGAGGCCTCCCGGAACCTGCCTCTGACTACGCCCACTGCACCTTCCCAGCCTCCGTGTCTCGAGCTACGTGACCCTCTGCTCTAACTCTTACTCGTGTCACGTCCAAACCGTGAATCGCTACGTTTCGTTCCCTTGCTCAGTCGTTGTCTTCTGACGTCACATCGTTGGCTAGTCACTGCGGCTTCGAATTCAATTTTCGCAGCCACGGAGGCAGCAATTCTAGTATTTCCTCCTCCATCCGAACAGCTCAACCATCCAACCACCAGCCGCATGAGCGACGGCATCAGCACCGCAACAGCGGGCAGCAGAACTCGGCTGACGCGCCGACGTGGTCTCCTTCTCATGCTGGCGGCGATACCTCTCCCACAGCCGCCTTGTCCGTCATGTCTTCGGGGGACGCAGACACTACCCCGCTCCCGGGCGTCTGCTACATCACGTACCCTCCGACACCAGACGTAGCGGCGGTTTCCTTGGCTTCTCCGCCTGCAGAACGCGGCCTCGATGGCCCCCGCGCCCGTGCCCGCAACCGCAGAAGCGATGTCGGCAGCGACGCCACTCAAATCGCTCGCGCCAGGAGAGGGGACTCCTCTGTTGACCTTCCCGGTGACGTGGAAGAAGAAGAAACAGAAGGGGGTGAGAACGGTTCAGCTGCAGCGGACGCTTCGCTACGGGAGACACACGAAGATGAGTGTTCGTTCACGGTGGGCGGTACTACCAACGCATCATCTCCAGTCGGCAGCTGGCATCACGAAAGATGCGGCAACCGCGACATCGACGATACTGGCGGTCCGGGCCGAACAAGTGGTGAGGAGGGTCAGCGGCAACGAGCGCCCACGGAACAACCACCATTGGCCAGCGAAAAAAACGCGTTGAAACGACACGTTGCCTACGACTTGGAAGAGGACTCGGGAAGCTACAAGTCCGGATTAGTCGGGGCGGGGGAGATGGCGTCCATGGAGGGAATAACGGAGCAGGGATCAGAACATCGAGCGGTGCCGAGGAGGCAGGCTGGGAAGGGCGGCGGCGGTGGGGAACGGCCCATGCGGTGTGGTCAAAAGGTGATCTCGATGATGATTTCGGATGGCCACCCGTTGGTGGCGTCGAGGGGGTTTCCATCGCTTCCTGGGGTGGACGAGCACCAGCTCCCATCGTTCTGGCTGGCCGAGATGCACGACAACATGAGGAAAAACAGGCAAGCACGATCTCCCTCCTTCATACAAGAGTGTGTTGTGGAGGCCTGTCGAGCAAGAGTTTTGTCCTCGTTCCTGCTATTGTAACGGCCGCTACTCGCGGGACACTCCTGATGCACGTCGATGCGCTACAAAGAAGAGGCAAAAGCTGCTCGAAATGCAATCCATTGTGTGCATACTGGTTAGATGACGAATCTCGATGAAGGCTGGCCTCCCATGATGTCGAACCTGGGCGTATGTCGTCGGTTTCCCTTTCTGACCGGTGGAAGTGCCTGACGCGGTCATGTGAAGACGGGGTCTAAGCAGCATGGCGCTTTTCCTCAGGCATTTGGGACCCTCCCCAGTCGTGTTTGCCTCTCAAGACACCACATCATACAGAACAATGCGGCCACTGTCAATCTTGCATGTTGGAGATGCGCGATATCACGCAACAAGAGCGGCTGGTTGTCCGAAACGTCGAGAAGAACACAGGCTCGTTGTCATGTGAAAACGTGCCACCTCATCCCAGGTCTAGCTCGTCACCCGTAGCTCTATCTCCACACTTTTCCACACCTACTAGCGCCGCGTGATAATTCAACACGCTTCTTCGATCGTTTATTGTTAGGTAACACTATGAAACAATAGATTACATCAAACCATCCGCACAGGGATGCCTCTGCCTTGTATCTAACCCACGACTCCTGGTAAACCACACCGTAACTGCGCAAAGCTGCAAAAAATATCAGCGAGACATTCGATGGCTCAATTCTCCAACAGCACCCATAGCCTCTTGATCTTGCACCCGGGACCGGGCCTTCCCTGCCGCGCCACACCAGGGCGGCGCTAAAAACTCCTTTTCGGCATAGAGCTGTTCGTGCGCGGGCACCGGCTCCGACTCCCGAGGACGAGGCGAATGCCTTCGATGAGTTAGGGGAAGACGCCAGGCAAGTGAAAGTGTCCACAGCAGTGCGGAGGCCAAGGTCGTTGAGCCAACGCATGTTCTACATGTGCTCCCAGCACTGTCCGGTATGCGATGGTGGGCAGCACGTGGAAGACGCATGTAATACTTGTTTTTGTTATGGCCTATGGGTTGCGGTGATACGTGGTGGCGGGTGCCGGCGGTGGGTAGTTGTGGCGACGGTGTTATTTTATTGTTGGAGTTAATGTTTCGTTAGCACAGTCATGATAGTCGTGCAGTACACGCGAAACTTGCTTCAAGTCAACACCGCCGTCGCTGCTGTCCTGGCACCCACCATTCGCTCTTGGTTTTGCTATGGGGCTGTAGGTGCAACCCCTGCTCAGATCGACCGCTGACTTCCCGCCTTCATTTCTTCAGGTCGAGGCTGAACACGGATGCGGAGACAGAGCTGACGATGGTAGTGCGCTTCTTCATGGCCTTCGGGTCGAAAGGGGGTCGAGACGGCCTCACCCTCCAGGTGAAGCAAGGCAGAAAATCGGATGCCTGCAGAAATGCTCTCTCGGTTTTCTACAAGTTGAGAGGTTGTTGACCTCGAGAAACGAGCAGAAACGGATCATTAACCCTATTCGATATATATATACGGGATTGGCAGCTTAATGAAAGTGGAGTGAGCTACCGCTTTTCGCCATTGCTAGCGCGTAGGGATAGAGGGGATGAAGTGGGGATAACATTAGCCTGTCACAGACGTCAGGATTGTGCTCGTTCTCGCTGGACGACAAAAACCTCAAAGGAGGCGGGGCTGAGTTGCATGGGCAAGGGACAACATTGTGGCAGCGACAGGAGATCAACACCACCGGCGAGTCACACGATCAGCCATCATAGCAGCGGCAACAACAACACCAGCAGTGTCGACATTCAAACCAAGGGCTTTTTCCGGGCATTGTGTTCAACGACGTACGTCAGGCTTGTTATGTGGGAAAACTCTGCATTGCTCAAGATAGATGGTTCGTGCAAAGCTACCTCAAACGTGCGCCGGTGGACTGAATCGACGTCCTGCCTTGGCTATTCGTTCTGATCCCAACCTCTTCCCAGGACCTCGAAGCAGCGTTCCGAGCCTCCAGGAGAGCGGATGCGTTCTTGGCGATCGAGAAGAAAGGAAAGGCAGCATTTATCAAGGTAGGAACAGCGATAACGTCTGCATCGTTGAACGTATCCCTGTCTATCGTAGTCGAAGAGAATGGTCGCCAAATTAGACCGGCATTTTTGCGATTGATCCCAAAAACGGGAAGGCGATCGTTCGAGATTGGAATCCCATGAAAAACATGAGTGTCATTGGTCGGTGCTCACGATGGTTGCGGTTGGCCTTCGGGTTTGCGTCGAGGTGGGGCATGTCCAACCATCTCTGTCCCGTGTGTAGACGTTAATGGTAGCGGCTTGATTGAGAACGGGAAGCTAGCCCGTTGCACAAGGAAACACGCGTCGAAATATCCGATTAACCCCAGCAGCTTTGTCATCCATTCACCTCCGTATCCGACCGGCAGTGTCGAGCCGATGTACGGGGGTAGTCAGGTCATCCTCGACGATTGCTCATGACGGGCCACACCGTAGTACTCAGCTAACGTCTCAGGGTTCAAATCATGACCACAAACGATGATGCCATGTTCCGCTTGTTCCTCATTGTCCGGCCTGTCGAATTGGGCGCTCCACTTACTTTGTAGTGTTTGGCCATGCTCAAGGCTCACGGGCTATCACCCGACGACTGGCTGCAGGAGCTCCTGTCCAGAAGGTTAGCTGCTATAGGGTGTGAGCGTTCCAACTCCGAAGCACAGGGCGCATAGTTTTTCAACAACTCTGCCTCGTAAATCAGCTAGACCCGGAATTTGACATTCGGCATGGGGCCGGGGCTTTCTACATCAAGAACAATACGGTGTGGCTGATTTTTCCCCTCCCACCCTTCACAGTCGGAACTCATGTATGTCTGACTCTGATATCCGCTCCAGTCACCGTCCCCACCCTTCCGCCTTTTGCGTCTGTTCTATCCTTCCCTCTAACCTAGGAAACAGGATCGCTTGACGACGTTCGAAATGGGCGAGAGTATCCGTGGCTATAACAGGGCGAAGCCCGCGTGGGTCAGGTCCCACAAGCATTGGCTACGCGAGTTCATGATCTCGGAGAAGGACCTTCGCTGGTGCCAGCGATTCGTGGACCCCGACGGGTGAGAACACGGAGGCATATACCAGGCTCAAGGCTACGGGGTGATTTGTGTCCGAGTGCCTATCACCCATTCTTTGTCGGTTGAAGTGAAAATATCTTGCAGGTCTTTGTTGCTCAACCTTGAGCGAGGCAAAAATTTCAAGGGCAGTCAGTGCCAGGACTAATTTGGTACGTGTCATCAGGCTCATTGCGGTCGTGTCTTTCTCGTACGGGTGCCGGTACGTGGGTCCTTTCAGCTTGGAGAGCCGGCGTCAATCGGCTCGTATCCTGTCATTTCTACGCCGCAGCGGCGTGCCCGCGTAACCGGTTATCACGTGCACTACTGCCCCGCACAATGAGTTGTCGCATGTCTCTCCTTCAAAGCGGCTGCCGATACGCGTGCCGCATGGTAGACAGTTGCAGCTTGCTTCTTTTGGTAGACTATCGCTTCCTCATCTTCTGCGGAATGGTTGTTGATGGAGGTCATTTCTAATTGTGAAAGGGAACGGGGACGGAGGACAATCTGGTGCAGGAATATGTCCACCTGTTCGAAAATCACAGAGCATGCGCTCCGTCGACCTTTGTCGTTGGGGAACCGTCGTCCACATCGGAAAAATGTGCAATGCATCAGGAACACCGACATCGACGAGGAGGAGCTTTCAAACGCCGTTAGATCTACGCTCGACGGGAAGCCCCGCATGTCATTGGAAGAGAGCCGGTGAGAAGGGTCGTCGAATAGGAAGCTATGCGGACACCATATGGTAGATCGTGTTCAGCGCCGGCAGCAGAGATTTGTTTCATTCGCCTGCAGCGTATACCCCGACAACTCGGGAAGACTGCCAGCCTAGGGTTTCCGGTGAACGCATGATGCGATTGGATGTTTTTCTTCTGCCCGGTGTTCCCCCCCGCTCGCCCTCCCCGTGACACCCGACGGCATTGGCTCCCCCGCCCGAAAAAAAAGGGCGGTGGAACTCATCCTGGAATTCGAAAATTTCATATCGACCAACCGTATCCGGCTGGTCGACCTCTTTGAGAGGGTCGACAAAGACAAGGGAGGAACCGTGGACGGCGAAGAGCTCAGGGAGTTTTTGAAGCTTGGGAGGAAAACGTGAGTGGAATACACAAGGTGTGGGAGGAAGGTGTAAGGTATCACAACAGTTGATACCTGCCAGGGGGGGTGGTGTAGCGAGCCATCGGCGGGTGACGGACGTCAAACGATACATATGGCTGAGGAAGACGTGCATCGCTGGATCATGCTCTTTTCTCGGCCAAAGTTCGAAAAAGCAAGAGGAATATCGAAGTGGGGACGGGATAGGGATTGAAGAGCTTGTGACGCTTCGGAAGAGAGCGTGAGAGTTTGATTAAGCGAGGGATAGAGGGTATAGAACCGTGCAGATCGTGAAGAATGTTGTGTGGTCTTTCAGTCTTCGGAACTTGAAGAAAAGCAATCGCACACGTCGTTCGGCGTTCACTCGAACATGTTTCACCAGAACCGATCAGTATTCTCGTCTATTCAATCCGTGCTTTGAGTCGAAAGAAGGGGAAGGGAATGGTCGATCTCTGTGCCTGCGGATAATTACGTTCAAATGTTTGTTGACGGGTAAAGCGTTAGGTTTCTCGAAAGCGTCGGGGAAAGAGCGAGCACAACCGGGAGGTAGCACGAGCCCAGGTTTTCACCATTGAAACCAAATCACACCACAGCGGACGTTGTTTGTCGTTTACTATGCACCATTCGGTATCCTGGATATGGTGTGTCTGTCGACAGCACATCTCCTACAAGTATCATATCATATTCGGTGCCGTCTTCAAGCTTTGGTGTACTTGATCGCAAGTAGCTTGAGACGGCCATGAGAGACCCCTGATTCGCACAAAGGATGCGACAACAAAGCGGAAAGTGAAGCAGAATATGCCATCTTGACATATATTGAACCACTTACCGGGAATTTTGTCATGGTGGTAGCACGGATACCGACGCCCCCTCCTCCTCGAGACCAGCACTACAGAGAGAAACGGTGGTATCCTAAAGGATATCCTAGAACAACCCACTTTCATGACCCTTGGCGACTGGCTCGCAGAGCGGACGGCGACGATCTTGCCCGATCAAAAGCACGGAAGGAAAAGATGGAGGAGGAAGAGAGAGACAAAGCCAGAAACGAGTTTATCCGGAAAGCACGCGAGGCGAAAGAACGCCACATAAGATCGAGGTCGGGGTGACTGGACATTCGGAAATTTCCCGTTCTTTTTTTTCCCGAAGAACGACCACGCTTGTTGGAGCCGTTGGTCATGGTTTTGAAATGTTGGAGTAGGATATCCATCAGACCTCTGTACCAAGAGCGGAAGAGTTGATGAATCCAATGGTCGTTCGATAGTTTTCTTACTGTTAAATCCGCATCGCGTATGCATAGTTGGCAGCGGTTTGAACTCATTTCTTGCCTCCGCGGCAAACCATCGACTGAATGTGCCTGCGTCCAAATCGTTGGATCCTGGTGTAGACATCTGCTTCGGCCGTTTAGATCCTACATCTTCTTCTTTTGAAGATTGTTACCTGATGTGCCTCACGGCATATTCATGCCTTGAGAGAAGATGTATTAGCCGCCTTGCTACTCCGTAGCGTGGATTGTTTCTTTCTTGGAATGACGGTGTATGTTGTACCCGGCGTTAGCAACGATCGAGCAAAGGGCGACCCGTGGAACTTGCTCTTTCGCACGGCCTCACCGCTCAAACCTTCACGTCATGCAGCCTTTTCAATGACACCCTGACTGATGCCTTTGTGCACGCACCAAAAATTCAGGGAAACCGGTGTCAACAGGATTCTCGACAGCCTCAAAACGTTTACCAAGACCAAAGGCCTTCGCCTCTCCGACATGATACAGGTGCGGTTGACACATGCCATTACGAGATACGCATACAAAGCCTTCCACCCGAATAGGATTTGCTCGCGAGTGGGCCCGACACCGTGAGGTTGTTCTTACGGCGATTATGTATGTGGGAGGGTACGGGAAGGTAGATGTTTTGGATTGCAGAGGCCCAAACGCTGCATTTTCGTGAAACCGACCGACCACAAACCAGGCCACCGGCGCGCATCCCGACGAGGGCATGGACCCTTCCCAGCTGCTGGCCTTCTTCGAGCGGGCAGCAGGCTCGTCCCTCGACCTTACCAAGGAGTCCCTGGAGAAGATCGTCCAGAACGTGGACGAGGACGGCAACGGCCTGGTGAGATTCTCACCACGCGGCGACAGGTCGCCAGAAATGTACCTGATCGACGTTGAGGAATATAGTGTGCATGGGAGTATCAAGAAGCCTGTTCGGAGAGAAATAGCACGTCAGCCAGTCCAGCGTGATGGCATTGTTCACAGTTCTGAGATCGAGGCGACAGTCTTTGTTTGCCACTAATGTCGTGGATCGAGGCTTCTAAGGTAGGATGGTGCGGCTCCAGCGTCAAGACTAGCGCTCCCGAGGAAGCAATACTCCGTCGTCAGAGAAATCTGGAGATGGCGGCCGAAGTTTGTTCAGCGCTTGGTTAGCATTCTGTTATGCTTCTTTCTGAGCAAGATCGGGGGGAACAAACCACTTATTCACAAGCAAGTGTCGGTGAAAATAGCAGAGTATGTGTGCGGATGACCGCGCCACGCTGCCAAGGACATCATACACAGAAAAAAAGGTGTGAAGTTTCAAACCTGGCCAAGGGTCGTCAATGAAATCTATTTCTCCTTTAACGACAACAAGCTACAATACTGTCTTGGCTGGTATTACAAAGTCGTGACAACACTGGTGGTGAACATGCGTGATGTCGGGAGAGAGACACACACAGAGAGAGAGGGACAGACAGAGAGTCGGTGATGAAACCAACGGCAGAACGGCTTCAATCCTAGAAAACAGCCGCCCCATCAATCATCTGAAGCAATCAGTCTCAGCCTGCTTTCTATGGCTGTACCTTCCTTTCGCCTTGATATCTACAACGTTGGGAACATCTTGTGTGACGGGATGGCAGAGAAGATCGGTCACGTCGCAAATAAGGGAGATTCACGACAACGGGTAAGCTTGACCCGTCATAACCCTTTCCAACGAACGACTCGTTACCCATTGGCGTAGCTACAGGTCTACGGTGTGAGCTTATCGGGTGAATACGACCCATTTTCCTCCGTACCCCCCCCCCCTTTCCGTACCATTACAAATGGTGGTCGTGTAGATTATGTTGTGAGGGGTCGAGAACCCTCACTCCACACAAAGGGGATGATTGCACCACGTTGTGTTAAATTGACCAACCACCCTCGACGCAGTTTCACAGTGCATACAGCTCTCTCGGAAGGGAAAAGCACCAGAAAAAAACTATCAAGTCATTCGCAGCTGCCATCCGTACGCAAGAATGCACAAGATGCCCAACACCCTCAGCAGGATGCAGCGCACCCTTCATGCGACTCGCCGAATACCTCACGGCGCTTCGCGCTTGGTGATGTGAGACCCTGGTCCGTTAAGAGCCCTGCGTGCTCCGTCCCGGCTTTGTAGCGATGCGAGGCCAATGGTCAAACGACACGGCATGCACGACTATGAGTACACCCCCCCCTTTCTGTAAACCTCCACAATCGTCAGCCCCCCATTTTGTGCCCCGCGGCAGAGGACAAACACTCATTTGGGTTAACACCAGCCAAGTTCGGTTGATCTGCCTTCACCCCCACTCCCTCCTTATTCAACCCCCCCCCCCCCCCCC